ATGATGATGGAGAGAAAACCCCCCCCCCCCCCCCCGCCTCATAGTTCTCCTTTAATCTCCGCAGTAAGTTTCTGCCACGACTCCTGCCTTACCAATCATGCCAGGTTACCCATTACTCTTATTCACACGGCTCACTCAGAGCCTCCACTATATCTCCATGGCGTGTCATGTCTCCACACGCTCACCGGCCCATCGTTTCTCTACGCTTAGAAGAAGAAAACTAGATTCTTACCCTTTCCCCTCGGTCACCTTTGCTGCCTTTCTGCCCAGGACCGCCAACCTCTCCCTAAATGTAAAGGAAAAGATAATAACAGAAGATCAGCGATGTAACGAATGAGTATACGGCATAAATAAATGCTCAGCATATGTGATACCTTGTCGCCATCGTCTCCAGCTGGCCCTGCGGGTCCGGCAGGTCCCGGCGGTCCAAGGGTACCCTGTGCACCATCTTGGCCAGCTATACCAACGGGTCCTTTTTCACCCTATTTAATCATAGAAAAAGATATTTTTTATATGAGAGGGGAAAATAAATATATTACACTATGACAGCTAAAGGAAACAAGTGTAAGAGACCTACCCGTTTGCGTTCCAGCGTGGGACGCAGCGGCCGCTGTCAGGATAATACAGGAGGAGGAGCTCAGCACGGGCGTTCCACTGATGGAGTGAGCGCCCTGCGAGCTACCAGCGTCCTACCACCGCTGTTCATGCGTCTCTTCCGTCTGGACGAAGAGCACCCCGAATCCTGCCGCTCAAGGCCTGGCTCCCCCTCATCTGAGTCTCCCCGAGTTCTGGCATCTAACCGCAAGTAACCTGTGACACCTCCATAGGAGATACCTGACATCGCTACAATTGTTCAGACTCCTGCGTGTTGATATCACGATATCCAGTATATGAATGACGGAACCAGGGGCGTAACTAGAAATCACAGGGCCCCATAGCAAAATTTTGTATGGGGCCCTGTGATATCTATATAAGTCCACCTAATAACCCAAACAGCCCACCTAAGGGTGACCCTGCAGAGCCCACCATAGAATCTCTATGGTGGGCTCTGCAGGGTCTCAGACGGGCGGTCAAGCCCTCTTACCTGTCAGCCCTGATCCTCTGTCCGCCTCCTTCTCCTCCACGATCGACTCCTCCGTCACTGGGCCCC